GTGTAATGCACTCCTTTAAATGCTGTACCTTTCCTCTGCATGTTTTAATTTATTTTTTATAACAAAGTCATCTGAAATGTTGCTTTTGCTTGCAGAAAAGCCAATCCAAATTAAACAAAAGACAGTGGTTGTAAACTTGGCAAAATTTGCAAAAGGGCAGGTTGTATTTGTACTTTGCTAGCCACTATATGTTAAATTATACAAAAACAATTGTGTAATGCCGCAAGATATCACAGATCTAGAAAACATCTTTGTCGGGATTACACCTACACACAAGAAAAATCATTCATTTAAAATACCTCAACACACAACTATATACCTGCATCTCCAGAACTACAAATATTACATTAAACTGTTAAAGAAGTACAGAAAAACCAAGACCATGGTATACTGTAGATTTTTTTTTTTTATTTGATAGGGACAAGGGTACACAATCAACATGTGAAACACTACAACATTTAAAGCCAAGACTAATGTGCGATGTCCGTCCCTAGAAGGAAACATTTCTTTTCAGTATGTTTCCTTTATTGTGTTTCGCAAGTGGATAGATGACATTTTGATTTGATCTGATTTATTTGTGTGTTTCTATTCTGCAAATATGCTTTTCAGTCTGTTCATGAGGCCAACACAAAAACATCCAAACTGCAATCGATGTGGTATTATAACATTAGTATTGGCAGCAAAAAGTGCATCCATGCAGTACAGAAAAGTATACATTGTAAAGCATATTGATTTCTCACAAACAGAAGACTCAAAGACAGAATTCCGTTCACAAAATGTCAGATGTGCAATTGCAAAACATTTCAAGTCCTTTAGACAGTGTAAAAATATAAAATAACAGCCATACAATTCACTCAAATACAATCAGAGGAAGTACTAGGAAGAAACCCATCACTACGAGAAACTACTTAATGAAGACATAGATTTTTCTGCCACTGAGAGGTTATTTATTTCTTTGTTGTTCTGGAGCTGCAGGTATAAGCTTGTATGTTGTAGCATTTTTAATATTTGTGAGTTCTTTGTGTGTGTAATGTGTGTGTTATTGATGGTGTGTATGTGGTGATGACTGTATGTCCGAGGTGCTCTCCTTCATAGATGCTTTAGAGGTGTCCTGGACCTGTGTATGTCTGTTTTTTTAATAAAGAATTGATTTCATTTTGTCACAAAGAAGGAATAAAATGTGACTATAACTGGTGGTAGTATATAATAATAATATTAATAATAATACAATTTTCATGACTTTACAGAACATACACATGGTGATGGTGATGAGATCGAGGATAGACAGTAATGATATTATACAATTTAATTTATAATTGTTGTCGTTGTTGAAATAGTTGTGTTGCTGAGCAGGCAGGTAAAGTGAATGTATATGTGGATAAGGTGGGAGTTCATAAGTCTTACGTCTTTTCACTCCATTTTAGGTTTCTATAGGGGTGAAGAGGAAAATGTGAATCTAAGTATTAATGTCAAACAACTGAATCCTGAAAAAAAATTATGGAACAAAAATAATGAAAAAAGAGAGAGAAAAAATTTAGATGATTTCTGCTTGCTTCTATTTGGACGTCTCATTTCTCGATGCCAGCACCTTGGAATCGGTTTTTCTCCTATAGACAGATGCATTATTGATCCCACATAGGAGAAATTAGGGTGTGTAGCAGCTAAACGTAATGTCAGGCTCACACATTCAAAAATATAGAATTAAATCAATGCTAGGGGGGGGAAGTTATTTGTATGTGATGAAATTACACATATTTAGCATTTGCATTGTTTCTCCCATGATCAAAATCAAACGGAGGATCCTGGCAGAGGGAGCCGGGTCAGAGTGTAGATGTGTGTGACGTGGGGCCGTGCGGAGAGTTGGGTAACAGCGATTGCCCAAGCTGTTGTGATGGTGTTGTAATGTTTGTGTCATGTGAGCTGGGGCTCTATCTGCGCTGCCAGGCCGTCAGGACGTGTGCGTTTGATTAGAGGACAGAAAAGAGTGTTTTTTCAGAGGTGCAGCGGCTCGCAGGGCAGACAGGCCAGAGGTTATGCTTGACTCACGGCTTCTGGAATTTACAAAAAAACGAAATGGCTCAATCTTTTTAACCCAGGAAACTAGACTCCATTAGAAATAAAGAGATTAGATGGTCCTTACAATTTAACAGCTTTCCCATGATTTTCATGACCAATAACATACTTTTCCTAAAAGTACATTTCACCAACTTTCTTTTTGTTTTATCAAATTATGTTTAATCAGATCTTTCTTGTTCAAAAGTATATGACCAACATTAAGAAACTTTATAAATTAGGCAGAACAGAGTTATGCATAAGCTTCCATTTTATATTATTTATTTTTTTACACTGCATTCATTTATTTATGTTGTTTTTTTATTTATTTATTTATATTTTATGTTTCAAAGCTGTATAGGTTTAATACTCCTGGTTAAGACAAAATATGTCATTGGAAATATCTTTGATAATTTAATCATACTTTCTCGAGACAGTAGTGCGACATTCATTACAGTTTCAAAAATGCCTCCAAATTTCCCTCCAAAACACATAAACACACAAACATACACACACACACACATACACACACACATACACACACTTTTTTATTATAATTATTATGATCATTTTTATTAGATTATCTATCCCTATGAATCTTGTAAGTTAGTTCTGTAAATGCCAAGGATCAGGAGGAGCGCTGTAGCTCCTGAAGCTCCTTCTGGAAGTAATTTATCAATTGGAAAACAACAGTTATAAAGTTTAAAAGGATTTACGCATGCAGTTTTATTACTGTAATCACAGTAAATGCAAATAATAATTGTCTAAACTTTTCACATTTCTGTACACTCCATAAATAAAATAAAAAACACTTTCAAACTTAAAACAAAAAAGGTTGGTCAGTTTTTTTCCCTTAATGCTGTTCTGTCATTTTTCTGCCAAATGAATCAATTTGCATATATTTAATAATTGCAGACTTTGAGATGGTAAGAGATGGTTCATCCCTGATATAATAAAGATAAGATAATTAAGCTCATCACATTTAAGGTCATATTAGAACTTTGTTAGTATTCTTAAATGAAAATATTATTGAACTAAAACTAATAGTATTAATAATTATGTTGCCAATGCTTTTGTATTATTCCGACAGTACTTTAGCTCGTATATTTTACTTTAATATTTATAAAATCTATTCAGAGATTCCTGTAATTTAATAAATAATCCTTTTTTAATGAAGAAATATAGAAACACTAGTTTTATTTAACACACCCAGTGCCACTCAAATTTCAAAGAGAAAGGTATGCATGCAGCACAAACTTGTACATAACTTAATGATGAACAGACTTACAAAGGTATTTCCCAAGTCAACATGAAGAAACTACCAGAACGTGTCCACGGTGGGTAGAATATGAGCAGTTTGATCAGAAAGCAGAGTTCTCCTCAGTGACAGAGCTCAAACTGCTTTAGATGGAACGTCTTTGTTGGTGCTTTTGCCCGGGCTCATGACTCAGTATTGCTCACCATGTAGGAGAGAATTAACCCGCCATTTCTGAAAACCTTTCTTTGTTCTCGCATGTTTACTTTTGCCCACTGAAATTCTTACATTTTCCAACTCTGCTGTGTGTGAACTTGTTTTCCCTCTCAATTAAATGTTATATTCATATTTCTTTGTTTTTGGTTTGTCAGGAAACATTATAGTTTCCTTCTTCAAAAGTGTGGTTGGAATTTTTTTTTTTCATTTTCTTAAATTCCCAGCTCAACTTCCTCCTTGCTTTATCCTCATTCACGAGTATCCATTACCTGCTAAAAAGTTAATCATTTCTAAAAGGCTTCTTTGGTGGTGTCACTTTCAACCATTTCACAACACAACATAGGTATAATCACAAGTTCCACTGAAGGAGAAACGGAAATGAGTTCCCTCCTAAAAGAAAGTTATCAGCCATAAAGTGAACTGTATGTGCCATAACTGCCCACGCACACTCTTTGTTCAGGAAGGCTCTTCTAGTCTCGGACACATCAAACAGCACGAGATCAGTGCTTTGTGAAAAGGGCAGAGGATGGCTCTGACTTTGGATTGGCACTAAGGGCAGTTGGGGAAAGTGTTTGTATAGCATATTTATGTTTGTGTTTCTTTACCTGTGGTACCACATTGGGTCCTTTGCTCATCTATTGATATGATTTTTTTGTGCAATCCCAATGTTTTGGTGTATCTGAATATAGAACTACTATAGAATTAGTTGTACAACTTTTGGCCACAAACTAGTCCCAGGATTGATGTGGTGGTCCTTGGAAGGCCAATTTATTCTAGATATGGTTGTACTTGGGAAGATAGTGTGTTTCTTAGGAGGTACTTGATTTGTAAAGTTTGAGAACCACTGTTCTAGGACATTCTCTAGAGCGTCATTTTTTCTTTTTTCTTTTTTGAGTGAGGAGGGAGTGGAGGAAGATCGGTAGTACATTGTAGTAGGTGGCTAAATCTTGTAAAGGGTTTCCTAATATGGGCTGTCTTACAGGAGTGCCCTCCCCTTTAGGCCACCCCCTTCACATCTCAGCCAGTGATGACACAGCTCGGGTACGACTCACTTCCTCATTAATTGGCTGAAACCAGTTCTTACAGGAACCGCCTGTGATAAATGTGAGAGTTCTGAGAAGTCATTCATTTCTCCGCTCGGCAGCGGCAGAGGAGGCACTGCAGGGGAGTTGAACGAGTTCACTGCTGCGTGTGCGTGTGCGTGTGTTAGAGAGAGAGAGAGAGAGAGAGAGAGAGAGTGTGTGTGTGTAGAGTGAGAGGAGCAGAGCGCACTCAGTGCTGCTGACACCACAGACGCACCAGCCGCGCACCACGCATTTCTGCTTTTCCTCTCTCTAACCTTTTTTGTCTCTTGTCTATTTAGTGAAAAGGGTCTTATTAGCTGTAGCTGGGGCACAGGCTGTACTTTTTCTCTTTCCTGTTTGTGTGTGTGTGGGGATGGACCCGTTGATCCCTTCGACTTTCTCTCTTCTCTCAGAGGAAGCGAGAGGCCAACACTGTACAGGAGATAGGACAGCATGCCTCTCTTTGTTGCTGCCCTTGGGCTGGTGAGTAACAATGATGTGACGTGATTTGTACCCCCCCCCCCCCCCCCCCCATTCTTCCCTCCCTCTTTCCCTCCTTTTCCTCTCTCCCTCTCTCCTCTTATGTGTTGTTGGACATAGAGCTGCTCCACGGCTGGGTGCGGCACTGCAGAAGCTCTTATGAGACTACTTGGAGGCCCTATAGGCCAAGCGACTCTGCGTCCGAGAGGGTCCGAACTGTAAGTACATGGGCCTAAGCTCCATTCACTGACATCTCCGCGCCAAAGAATGTGGCCCCTCACTTCTTCTTTCACTCTGTCTTCTGTTGTCCCTCTTCTGTTTATCTAATCCTCCTTTTAGGGCTTAAGCACTGGGATTCAGTTACTTAATCTTGGGACCACCAACGACCTGTCAAACATAAGTTTTTATTTACCTTTTACTGAGGAACTATAACATACGTCCTCAAGTAATTTTAAATTGTACTACTTTGACTTCGATAGCTTAGACCATGGCTCTAATTTAGGGCCTGAGTGACTGACTGTGAGCGCTGCTCTCGGCGGGCTGAGGGGGAGGAGGCGAAAGAGGAGAGGGGGAGGGCAGAGGGGCCACGGAGGGGTCTGCCTTCTCCCTGGATTCAAGTGTACTACTGTAGCGTAGGGCGTGCTGACTCATGCTCCGTCTTACCAATTGGAAGAGTGTGTGTAAGTGTGGTCACTCCCCTATGTGTCACACACACACTTGCACTCAATGCCCCGCCTGAACTCAGCACTGACTCTGGACGAGGGCAGGGGCCCCTTCCACTAGTGACAATCCATCAAAACCCCCTGTCTAGAACAAAAAGAGCCAGTTGTAGCACTAGCCTATTTCTCTTTAAAAGACTCCTTTCTCTTTGCCACAGCAGCTTTCTTTTCCTAGATTCATTCTCCGTTCACTGATTCATTGAGAGTCATTATTCTTTTTTATTTGCTAACTCAGATGGAGGAGAAGAAAGGATAGACTTTGAGTTGCACAAGGACAGATTAAGGCATTTCTAGAACAATGTTCCTTTTTTTTCTTGTAACTTGAGCCTCCTGCAGTTACAAGAGAGAAGCAAGGCAATTTAAGTTGGTAGAGGCAGACTGCAGGATGGGGTCACTGGGGGCGTTTGCAGAGAGGTGGTGGGGGCTGCTGCGTGTTTTATTACCCCTGATCTCTATCTGTCCTGCACATGGAGCTGCAGCATCAGGAACCCCTCACCTTAAACACGGACTTCTCTGTCCTTTGCTTCCTCGCAGGAAAGCTAGAAGCAGACATGGATCTTCTACAAGGCTGTGATCATCACGATCTGCTGCTTTGTGCTGCATTGTCAACTTAGCGCAACCTCGGGCTCAAGCAACAGGGAAATTAGTGGGTGGCCAAGGAGTCACAAAGCTTCAGAGGACTCTTTCACTAATTTCTACTCTCCTTTCAGCTGATAACCCTCTATTATCTGCCTCCGTCTGGTTTCCTTCTTGTTGTAGAAACTTGCTTATGTTGGATTTGGACTTGCAGCTACTTTTCTGTGAATTCTTTTTGTGATAGATTTAAATGTTGGGGCTTTTCACTTAAATAAATGTGAAGCACTAATTTGTTGAAGGATCTCACAATCAACAGCTTCTTCATTTACATTTCTGTATTTGTAAATTTGGCTTAAATCAGAATAGGTTTTACACTGAATTCTGTGGATAGGACTTCATGTTCATATTCACAAGAGTGTAAGTTAACTATTAGTAGTTAATAGTGTGTTCCAATGTATTATACACTACATAACTGTTGAATGCTGTTTGGTAAAGAGCAGATAAACTGTCAGTCAATCAGGCTCCTGGTCCCTTTGTCTGCTAACAGGAAGAGCACATGAGTCAGCCTGGGGCAGCTTTACCAGATTCACTCCTATACTCCAGCACAGTACTGACTGAGACATGAGTGTAAACGTGTTATCTGCCCTGTTTGGCATCATCCTTTCCTATTTATTCTGAATCAAACGAAAAGGCTCATACTAACAAAGTCTCAGTTTCTTGTCAGTCAATCATTCTTTCATGTTTCTATTGCAAAGTCAGGCTAGCTGCTTTTCTTTGTCTTCACATTCAAGGAGCTCTATGCCTTTTAGCTCTGACATCATCTTCCACGCGCCTCCCAGTGCCTCATTTCTACTTCTTCTTTCCCTCGTCTCGCTTATTGGAATGCAAAACTATCTCCTCTTTTTTTTTTTTCTCTCAAAGTGGCTAAAAAATATAGTATTTTTTTGTGTTCTTCTTTGCCGCTGCTGTGCTACGCTGGACTGAGCGCAGTGGGCGGGAGGGGAAAAAAGCCTCCAGCGCACAGTGAAAAGCGTCTGTGCCGTTACCTCAGCTGAACCTTAGAATGAACTCGTTGCACTTCTCCAGTCACGGAGCCAGGAGACGACTCACTCGAGTAGATGCAAAACAGAGGGGTACTGTTAAGCGTGCTGAACCCTATGCTCTGCACCAGTTCTGCTCACAGCATTCTCCGTCCCCCTCTCCTGCCTCCGTAAGTAGGATTAGGTTTTTTTTTCCTTTTTTATTGTTGCCGTACATGTGGCTCGGACATGTCGGCCACTCTCGACCTGTGAGATAGCTTATCAGACTGGTGTTGGCTGTTAAGATTACTAGGCGACAACAGTCTGTAGGCTGTCTGACGTTTCGGGCTCTTTCATCCGACCAGCATCCTGTCTTAAGCCTCTTCTTTTTTTGTCATTGTCTCAGTCAGCATCAGTTCCCATACGGAGGTTTGTGCCGCACTGTCACTTCCCTTTCCATACAACGGCTCTCGCAACACACTAAAACATCCTATTGTTTATATCTCCCTCATGCTGCCGTGTTTGGGCTGCTTCACACTTGTTGGCGCTCCTTACAGCCGTTAGCTCAGATTGACAGGGGCTATACCTTTAAACACGTTGTCAGCTCAGTGGCTGCGTCGGCTCTGGGCACTTGAATTTCCAGTGAATCCAGACAGAACACACCTTATTGCAACACATTGTATTGTGACACCTAGTTCTATAGTACACGCACTGCACCTCTCCTTCCCTTTTACACTTCCCTCTTTTCTATGACAAAGTACTTCCCTCAGTTGCTCAATAACATATTTTTAAGATATTGCATTTTATGAGAAAATATTTTAATAAGAGGGAAGAAGGAGATATTTGTTCGACTTGAAAATCAAATGCAGCATTAAGGTGAAACATTTTTTTTACCCTGAAAGCAAAAAATTAGATCATTGGAAAAGACAAGAATGGCTTTCAGGCTGAGGGAGTGTGTTTTTCTTGGCTGTTTCAGAATGTCCTGTTCCATAAGGGAGCCCCTTTTTGGCAAGCACCTCACAGTGTTTGTAAGCTTCTAGAATTTCTCTCTGTACTTCAAAGTCCTGTTTTTACCTGAGTTATTTCAGAAATGTTCTCTGTTTTTTGTCACCTGCCCTCGCTTTAAATAAAGTCTGCACATAAGAGTTTCCTTGTCTGTGTTCATTTCTGTGATAAGTCTGTGCCATTGCTGACCCCTGGGCCTCTGAAGAATCTCACATGTCGGCCGAGGCGAGGGACACGGTGGATACCAAGCCCATCACAACTCCAATTTCCCTGGCTAAGGTTTCACGTCCAAACGGTTATCACATTACCCATTTGCTCTCTGCACTCTGACATCATCTCCATTTCAGATTCCAAGTCAAAGCTTTAGTGTGAGTTATGAAGAATCAGAGCTACACTCCAGCTCCTGTTGCAAAGTTTAGCGTGTTCATATTACTCTGGCATCACAGAGAAGCAGAGTCACAATAGAACATTTAGGATAGGTACAGGTGACACTGGGAATATTACAATCTGAAACTATTATATGCAGCCTCATTACACACACTAACATTTTTAACCATAGCTGTAGAGTGTCCTTGGGTGTTTTGAAAGGCGCTTTTAAATAAAATTATTATTATAAAGTGAGATGTATGTATTTGTTAAAACTTTGACAATTGGCTCACAGCTTATAACCTCTCAGAAAATGTTCATATTTTGAAACTGGACTGCCATAATCATTGGAATAAAAAAAAAAGGCTTGGCATGTCTCACTTTGCATGTAATAAGCCTTATCATATACTGGTTTCACATTTGATGGTTCATTACATAAATTAACTTTTGAAAGATATTCTAGTTTTCAGAGTTTGCTTTCATCTCACACATTTATCACCTTGTGTATAATTATAAAAAGTTTGTGTGGGTATGAATTTCCTGTCATATACTATTATATTTTCACAGTTTGAGTATTAGTTTCATATCATACAACATGATACTATAAAATGCAAGTCAGCAGACATGGCTCTTCTACCTTTGGGGTCCAACAGTTGTGTTTGACTTCCTATTGTCACACCCAGAGCAGCCATTGCACTGTTACCGATTGCTCCTCTCACCCTCATTCACCCCATCCTCCTCGCAACGCCTCAGTGCCTAAGCTCAAAACCCAACATGCAAATCTTGCTTGTCCAAACATGCCAGGGGTCTTAATATTCAAATAGCCCCACTGCCTTTTGTCCTCCCACTGTCTTCTCCGGGAGCCACACTCAGCCAGGATTTTGAGAATACTATGGTCCAATTTATTCAGCCAAAAGTCCACATTCTCAATAGACTTTAAATAATAATGAAATCACAGGACAACCTATAAAGTATGGAAATATTATGTCATGAATTCAAATTGCCTAAAAATTATGATCAACTGACAAGATTTCAAATGCAGAGCGGGGATGAGGCTCCTGCAGGCCTTAACTCAATACAACACAACACAATTTATTCTTGTATAGCCCTAAATCACAACAGAAGTCATCTCAGAGGACTTAACAAAACCATTGAAATCACCAACACAGGTCAGAGAATCAACAGTTAAAACACAGAAAGAATATAGAACACATGTTGAAAAATGTCCATACATGTTGTAGAGTGTTAAAGTGTCCTGGATCATCACCACAAGGAAAAACTCGCAAAAACCCAGTGGGAAAAAAGTGAGAAACCTCGGGGAGACCCACAATTGAGAAAGGGATCCGCTCCTCTGGATGGACGGGCTATAGATCCAGGACCTAAGCTACAGGACGTGGACCAGTGGCCAGAGGACAAAACTATTTAGACCTTCAAAAAAAGTGTGGTAGGTAAATAATAAATGCATTGTGTTTATCCAGTTTCACGCTTGTTTTGTGTCATATATTGGATCAAAAGTTTTAGGGCCCCAAACTTAAAGGACCCTGATGACTTACAAACTGCTTTATAGAAGCACTTCATTTGTTTCCTCGTCATTTTGCAGCTGTCACATTTCCACAGAAATAGAAAGTTAAAACTGCACTGGTTTATCTAACTTGTTATTCAGGTGCACTGGATTTATATTTTCAAAGTTAAATGTTTCTAAAACAGATACAAGACATTTACAATTATTTGATGATGCATACTAAAGTCTATCGCTGGCCTGCGGCCCGACAACTTCAGATAGATTACAGATAGGTGCAGTGACAAGAGAAATGGAAGGCCCTCTGTTCAAACCTACTGAAATACGTTTACATTTAGATGAATGTAATGTTTTTGTTTGGAACATTGGGCCTTTACAGAACATTTACAGGATTTCATACTTTGTTAAAATTAAATAAAGCAAGAAACAACATGCTTTTAAAGATGGAGTAGCTAACTTTTTTGTTTCATAAATATATGCAAAAAGTCTTGTTTAACTCCAACTTTAAAGTTTATGTAAAGTACTTACCTTTAGGGTTCTTTCAATAAGACAAAGTAACCCTCTGACTCCTCAGAAACATGTCAGGAAACTAAGCAGTACGACCTTCTTTACACTTTGTCTTATTAAAAGAACCTTCTAAACCTTAAACATAAGAAAAAACATTTGATGTTTTTATCATTTAAAGAACCTATCGTTAACTTAACGCGGTCTCTTGCTTTGTCTTTGTTTTTTGTATCCATTTCTAGTACCTGCTCTGTGTGCTCTTTTTTTTTGCGCTGTAAGGTTTAAATAAAGTTTTTTTGTTGAAATATGTCCCTGCATTTGATCCATCCTTCAATTTCACCATGGCAACCTGTCAGGAGCAGAGGCCACCACAGTGCAGCTCCTGGAACCTCACCATCTGCTGATGCTCTGCTTGGTCTGGACCTTTGTTAAGTGTAAGTTACAATTACTTTTGGTGATTAGTTTAGTTTTTCCTCCTGTGGACCCCCCACCTGCAGGAGGATCAGTGAGGGGCTGGTGCTCTGTGAACTGGGTGGAGCTCTGACTGCCGACCC